ACGGCGCTCGCAACTGCATAAGGTCATATGAGCGCCAAGGAGGAGTGGATGTCAACAGAGAAGTCCTTACAGGGCAAAGTTGGAAAGAAACCAAGGCAGACTGAAACAAAAGAGGGAGAGTAAAGAAGTAATGAAGTAAAAAATAGCAAAGTTTCTTCCTCCATTTCACTGGTTTACATTTCTGAAAAAAGCATTTTTTTTTAAATGTTGGTGGGGGTCTTTTTTATAACACCCCGATCGACATAACATAGATCATTTAGGAGGCGGGTTTCTGACTCTGCCTGTCAGGGCCAATCTACTCAGAGAGGGATACAACATCCTAGTAGAAAGACTGAGATATCTGATTTGAAATTTGACAAAAGAAAAGTGTTGAAGACCGTGAAGGAAAAGTTGCGGGATGAGGAAGACAGGAGACAGTAGAACACCATGTAATCGTTAGGATGCGGGAAATGGGGATAGAGAGGGGAGAAGGAAGAGGGGAACGATTATCTGGAAAGGAAAGACGTCGCCATAATCAGACAGCCACCGGAACAATCAGTATGGATACCTTGCGGGTTTTGGTGCTGGGGGGAACTGAGCACTTATGGACCTGTCTGGTGTGCAATGACGTTGTTGCCCAGGACAGGTAAGGCAGGTAATACAGAAATCTGATTAAAAAATGTTTCCCCATTCAGGAATTGAATACAGGTCTCCTGTATGCGTCAGTGAAGCACCTGGCAATCGCTACACCACAGATGCCGGTTCACATTTCTGTCCAGAGTAAAAAAACAGACTACAAAGTGGAAAAACTGTTGTGCTGATTCAAAACAAAAATGTATCTTATTTATGACGTATGTCCAAAAGGCTTAAAAATGTGAATAAAATTCATCTCAGAGGGACTTTCTTTAACAGTTTTAGTGTTAGTAAAAATTTTACGGCACTTGCAACACAATAAGGTCATATAAGTGCTGAAGATCAGAGGTGTCACAAGAGAGCAACAAACACAAAAAAGAAGGAGGATGGAACATGACAATAGATGTTTGATAGGAAAGAAGGAGTAAACCACACCAGAGCACCCGCCAAATACTCACTTTCTTTAACAAGAAGTACATACAAATCATCAGACTGATAAAAAACAAAATGCTTCAATAGAGTGGGGAATGATTTATTCTGAGTCTCGGTGAAACAAAAAAAATGGATAAGTATCAATACATAGCATTATTGCACGAGACATTTACAACTTAGCAGTCAAAATATCTTATAAGTAGGCCTGTATTATTATATTCATTCGATAATAACTTTTTTTTACATTTTCACACGAAACTTACATCACACACCATGTTCTCATTAGAAAAGGCTGCATCAACCAAAAAACATACAAAACACATGCACGAAGAAAAAATGCCCACGTATTCTCACTTGTGCCCTCACACACACATAAAATATAAACACTCACACATATAACCATCCCAGAGATAAAGACAACAGTTGTTTAATAGGAAAGAAGGAGCAAACCACACCAGAGCACCCGCCAACCACTCTCACAACCACATCAGCTCTACTCACACATCATCACTGCCTTTCTCACCCTGGCTCAGGATACGATAGGCCACGAACAAACACTTTCCCCTTTTCCCTATCCTGGACTGGATAGCCTCTTGATGGTGTCACTCCATCTACTCATACAAACAGAAACAAAAAAGTGCAAAAAATACCTACATATGCAGAACTGCCAATCCCTTCAAGACCAAAAAAGGAGTTTTTTTCCGAATCCTCTCTAAAAATCAAAGTTTTTAGTTTTAGTTTCAGTAAGAGTTTTACGGCGCTTGCAACAGCATAAGGTCATATGAGCACCAGAAGATTAGATGTGTTACAAGGGAGTAACAAACATAAAAAAGAAGAAGGGGAGATAAGAACGATAGATGTTTGATAGGAAAGAAGAAGCAAACCACACCAGAGCACCACCCACCCACAAATCAAAGTTTGAGTAAAAAAAATTTTTTTTTTTAAACCCAACCAAACAACCAAACAAACAAAAATTCAGAGTAGGCAGACCCCAGTAGTTCCGATTACATCACCAGCCCATCATGGCAAATAAACGTGGATTGCAAACGTTCAAAAATAAAAAATATTATGTATTTTCATGTTCTTTTCGATAAGTCGCCAAAACATTGTAAATACAAGTAAATAAACAATATGTTGCCAAAGACCAATGGAAAATGAATTCAAGAAAAAAATAGAGGATTTTATGCAAATCCAAACAGAGTAAGAGCTCTTATATAGGCCAAAAAGGAAAAATTGGAGGGCTCCGATTTTATCAGAGTACTTGGCAGTTCTGTACATGGTTTCTACAGGGATCTACAAATTCTCTAAAAGTAAAAGTCTGTACACAGTGACGCACTTATATTTTATCCTGAAAGCTGAAAATACAAAATGTACGAGAACACAATATTTTCAGAAATGACTTACAAACAGTTTTTTACAAAATATTCTATTCTTTAAACTTTCTTCAAAGCAGCATTATTTCAAGTACAAGCATTCACTAATAAATAATGCATATTTTTCGTCTTCGTACAAATATCACATATTCCGCATCTCTCTCTGAAAACAAAATTATACACTATCACAATAAGATAACAAAGTACTTTGTTTGTGCATCTAGCAACAACTGTAATTGTAATGTTTGTTCTGCATGAATCAAAAAATCATCTCCAAAAAATCCTCCAAGAGCTTATGATGGACCACAAAAACCCCCCAGATAAAACTGCAATTGCAACTACACTGGCTACACTAAGTAAGTCACTCCAACTAGCCATCATCTGATTGGCTTAGCATCTTCCTCGTCACAACGAACTGCTCTATCATCAGTGCCACTATATATATATATATATATATATATATATATATATAATATATATATATATATATATATAAAAGTGGACTTGGGAGGCTTTGTGCACAAACCCACACCTTTGAAACTTTGCAGGCGTCCACAACATCCATGTGGCTAGGACCTAACTTTAAAAAATCCACGCAAACTGCTTTCCTCATTTTTTCCAAAATTCTTTGTTTCGTTAACACAAAGTTCTAGCATTTCAATGAAGTGTTCAAGACATATTTCAAGACTTCCGTTCACTTGCTGTGCGCCTTGAACCCACAATGACTTGACGATTAAGTCCGTTCACCGAACGGGGTACCCAGCTAGTGACTCTATAAATGTGTCATGACGCACTGGAATCAGGGGCTCGTCAATTCATGGGCATGTAAAGTTATTGGTATCAACAAAAAATCTGATTTATTTGCCTTGCTTCCAATGAAGTAAATATCCATTCATTTTGAATAGAACTCAAGATATTTGCAATTGAAGGAAGAGAGGTCGCCTGGTTTCAGAGATGAAATTAGTAAGAAAATGGCCGCTAAAGTTGAGTAAATCCAATAACTAAAGAGTCTTTGAAAACTGAAAATTGGTACAAAGAGCAACATATAACAACAGATTGTGGAGACCTGTAACTTTTGATACTTAGGCACAGCCTTAAAAAAATTCAAAGTTTGAAACCCTCAATTGCATCTCCACTTTCTTCAAAATTCTTCTCAATTTCTGTACAATGTACTTTCAAACAGAGTGATGGAAGAAAGCAGTGTCCCATTTCTCACAAAATGACTGCGCAAAGCAGAGAAAAGCAAAAACTTCCTCAGCTCCCTACCTCAGAATTACAAAGTTCTGTCTGCTCAGTACCTAGTTTTAAGAAATTTGAAGTTTAAAATTTTGAGCTGCACAACACGTCAAGATTTTTCTAATGTAATTCTTTGAAAATCTTGATGACGACTCTGAATAATCGTACGATTTCGATAGAGTAGATAGAACATTTTGGTTTCTGACCTTTATAGTCTTAGTAGCTTAAAATGGCCAAAAATATCAGATAGAACCTAGTAATTCTAAGTTAGCGAGCTATCTTTCTCTTATACGAGCAAAATGTAATGAACATTGCCAGAAGACAAGACGTCAGATAAATCTTGTTTGTATCTTCACAAAGAACACAAGACATACTCTGAAATATAGTCTTCCTCGGAAAGGCAGCTGAACTTGTCCTTACATTAACTCAGTGGTGGCAACAACTTTCAAAATTGCAGTGACAAGCGACAGTAACAGATGGTTTATAAAGGCATACGCTGTTACTTTACACTGATTGTCATGCAATTCATAGGAAGATAATTCTCATTATGGTGATCAATAAAAGCTGGGATTTCTTTTTTCTTTTCTCTAAAAAAAAACAAAAATAAAAAGTAAAACAAAAGAAACATTGAAATACACACAACCTACTTTTTTTTCATTATGTAGCTTCACCAGAACTTCAGGGCTATTGTAACCACATTTTCCCACAAAAATATTGTGTAACATTATGATGTAAAATGTACAAAAATGTACGGTTAAACAGTTGTGTCCTTGGGAAAGACACTTCATACGAATTATCCTCATTTCACCCGCGTCAGAATCGGCACCCAGCTATAGAGAGCGAAAAATCTTATCAAGTTGTAAGTGCTTCAGCATGTGCAATCCACAGCTGGCACTGTATGCTTCCCGAGATGGCAAGAATGCTGCAGAGTGTCCTAGGATTTGCTGGGGTAATAATGGTTTTAACCCTATCCATACGTCGTGTTTTGCTATCGTATCCATACGACGTGGGGAAATCTGTGCCACCACTTTCCAAAGAGGAAATTTACTCGTTTTCTGATCCATAGGCTTTGCATAGCAGCCTGTCAAATTATTTTTAGAGAAATACTGAAAGTTTCAAAGAGATCTTCGTACTAGAAGTATTCTAAAATTTGAAGAATACAACCCCGGGGGTACAAAATGACCCCAGGGCGTAAAAATAGGGTTTATTAAGTGCATTTAGCATGCTGTAGAGCTATAGAAATACAACTACTGTTATTATTATCATCATCAAGTAGTAAGCTGACTTCACATGAGAGTGCCCACCAAACATCAGTGATATGACATTGCATCACAATTCTTAAGCAAAACATCAACACTGACTGATAAAGGAATTTGTTGCCGCTGTCTGGGCATTTCATTCCAGACTAGAATATAAGAGTATACAATTAAACAATTCTTCTTCCACATCGTATGGTGTGTGCTGAAAGTGACAACTGCCTTATACTTATACATCAGACCATCAATAATTTATTTATAGCGGCATCAGCCATCCATGTACATAGGTGTCGTTTTAGCAACATGTGACCCCCGAGATTTTTCGCCTTTGTCCGAAAAGGCTAGGTGTAGATCTTTCCTACCAGAAGATCAGGCGCGTGGCTGAAAGACAGCAGTGAGAAGGAGCCAAGGAGAAGCAGTAGAAAGGCTGCAGAAAGAGTCAGGAGCCCAGAGGAGGGGGCAAAGGAGGTGAAGGGTTGGAGGCAGAAAGTGGAGACAAAAGCAGACAACAGAACATTGCTAGAGAGCAGGAAAGGAAGTGAAAGGAGACAATTTTAGAGAAGAAAATTTTTCTGTCCCTACCCGGATTCGAACCTGGGACCTTTGAACGAGAGGCGAATATCATAACCTTTAGGCCACGAGAGCCCCCTGGCCAACTCTGCAGCTCTGACCCTAACCGGATTCGAACCCGGGACCTTTCAATGAGAGGCGAACACCTTAGCCTCTAGGCCACGACAGCCCCCTGGCCAACTCTGCAGTTCTGTTAGACTTCAAGTTGCTTCCATAATAACACATGAAGAAAAAGCTGAAAGCGTGGAAGCATACAGATATAGTAGTCAGAGACAGTAGTAACCCTGGCTTCGTTCCATCAGCAAGAAGTTTTTTTCCCAATTCTCCACGAGCAGTGTCCTCATTTGTTGGCCATGGCTTTAAGTTTGCGGAAGTGCGCGTTGATGGCTTGCAGCTGGGCGGGGAACGGTACCTGGCGATCAGAGTAGAAGGACTCGACGCGGGCCATCACCACCTCCAGAAGGAACTGGGCGTTCTTCAGGATAAGGGAATGCTGGGAAACACACACAAAATGGAGCACAGTCAAAAACAAAATCTGGATGAAGTAAGTATTATATCAAGGAAGATATGTACAGTCAATTCAGACCAAATAAAATTCTTATATAAAGTGCAAAGTAAAAAAAGTCTTTTCACTACTCTAGAAATGGTGACTATGAGGAAAAGTAAAATATTCTTGTCCTTGAAAATTCAGGTGTGCAAAAGAAATTCCACACCAGCCCCATTCTATATTTTTCAAAGGATAAGAGTAGGCCTACCGTAGTTGAAAACTTCCCCTAAATAAAAAAATCATGACCACAGAAAAAAGCCCCAAAAGCAAAGTGAAAAGTTACGTTACAAACTCAATAGTATTAAATAACAAATTTAAAGGTTATCTCCAAATACATAGTACACAATTATCAAAAAGGAAAAAAAACAAACCAAAAGTAACCTACTAATCAGGAACAGAAGCATATACATTGACATGAGGGCAAATTAATCTACACCTTTACCAACAAGCACCCCCCTCCCCCCTACACACACACCTCCAATCCCCTGTCCCCCCCTACACACACACACACCTCCCACCCCCTGTCCCCCCACCCCTTCCCACACACATACACACACCTAACTCCTGATATCACCACAGTGCCTACCTCCTTGTTCAGTCTCTCCGACTTCAGCGACTGTTCAATGTGGGCAACCTGGCTTTTGTACACAGAGGACAGGGAATCCGCGATGAAATCCTCGAGCTCAACCGTGTATAGCTTCAAGAGGTCATCGGAAAAGGTCACACATATCTTGGCGAACTGAATGGAGTTCATCGTGAGCATGACGAAGCATTTGTCTGTTTATGGAGGGAGAATAGAAAAGTATTGAAGAGTTGTATGGCACTTATAACACAATTAGGTCGTATAAGTGTCAAAGATTAGAGGTGTTACAAGAGAATCATCATCATCAATGCCTTTCACCCCTGGCAGGGTATAGGCCACATACAAGCTCCTTCCATTTATCTCTGTCCTGGGCCATCCTTCCAAGATAAGGACGATAGGTGTTTGATAGGAAAGAAGGAGCAAACCACACCAGAGCACCCACCAACTACCCGCTTTCACTGTCTATAGCACTTACCATAGACGTATGGCCTGATGTCAAAGCCTGTTGCAGCAATGTCCGCCACGTATTTGTCGCAGTCCGCCTGAGACAGGTGGTTCATGGGGCGCCACAGGTCGTCCTGGCAACAGAAATATTAGCCAGATGTTGACAGTAGTTTACATGATACAAACAAACACACACACGCATGCATGCATGCAGTTTTAGTAAGAGTTTTATGATGGTACTTGCAACACAATTACGTCGAAAAGTGTCAACCGCCAACCATCCGCACTTGAACACGCATTAAAGTATACTCAAATAAAACAAACAAAGCAGCAGCACTTTTTTTTGTCCCTTACCCATTTATAATATGAGATTGACGCCATCTGATTACTAGAAAAATTGAATCGATAACAGCTGTTGCTGGATCGATTAGTAGAAAAAGGTGCATACGACTAATAGTAACATAGTGTCCAATAGTGTATTACGAACATAAACCAGCAGCACTTACCGCGGCTCTGTACTTGATGCCTTCCGTGATCTGGTCGCGTGTCTCCTCCACCACCTGCTGGATGGCCGTGTCCAGCAAGGTCGCCAGGCTGAACTCAAGGTCAAGGCCGATAGAACTCAACTGCAACATGATACAAAAATCGTGCACGGGTTTAACATCCCATAGGACAAAGTGAAAAAAAGAAAAAAAAAGAAATGACAAGTTAATATAAGTTACAACAGGTGAAGACAAAGCATAAATTGATACATATATACATATTAAAAAAATAATACACAGAATACAATAATACACAATACAAGGACACACTAGTGATCAAATGGTTCATGTGCAGGTTCACACGGAAGCAATGTCAATGCAATGGCTCTCTTCAAAATTGGTGCCCACACCAATGGGTGTGTCGTTAACCCTTTAAGTGTTGACAGCCGATTAAATCAGTTGCCAATTTTGTTCTGTGGTGTCACGGCTGATCTCATCTGTCAATATTTGAGTCGTTATTTCAGTTAGCTTAATCCCGGGGTTTTTTTATATCGCGAAGCATTTTTACTCCTTTACAAATTAGATCTACTTCCTAGTTTTATTCTACTGTCTGAAAATGTAAAGGTTTAAGTGCCCACCAAACATCAGTGATATGACATTGCATCACAATTCTTAAGCAAAACATCAACACTGACTGATAAAGGAATTTGTTGCCGCTGTCTGGGCATG